CCACCTTCTCTCTGCTCTCAGGGCAGTGTTGCAGAGCCGTGCTCAGGCTGCTTGCTCTGTGAGTAATGATGGGTTTCGCTGGGTTAAAGGTGCAGTGGCACTCTGCTAAGTACAGGTTTCTCTTAGTGACCTGGTCTGTGGCTTTGGGTCCTTATGTCATCAGAATTAATGATGACGTTTTCTAATGCTGTGATCAGATAGCATCTACAAAGCAGAGGGGTTTTTTTCAGTTCTCTGTTTTACTCTTATCCTTGTCCTATGTAGTCTGAGGTGGGACAAATCTTTTGCATCCTTGTCTGATAGAGTAGTTTCCAAAATCCCTCTTTATTCCCACCAAATTTCCTGAAAAAACATGCTGTTAAGAGCAATTTAATAAATACAAGGTTCTTCTATATCCTATATCCTATTCTGTTCAGAGAAAAATAAATCTATTTCTTCAGCATTTGAATCCATGTAAATTATTTGGTACGCTTTTCCTGGGAAGCAAGTTCCTGTGAAACAGATAATAATAAGTAAAATTTTAGTCTTCTGTAACATTTTTTCCAAGGATATAAAAGATGTATGTGGTGGGACTGGTATTTTTATGTAGGCACATAATGCATTTTGAATAAATGGCAGTCAGATAATTAAATAACTACACAGGAAGACAGATTGATAATCTTTTAATATTTCTTCTAAACAGACCTCCCACAGGAGTGTTTCAGTTTTTGCTTTGCACCTGGTTTGGGGCTGAGGGCTAGAAAAGGGGTGTTTATTTTTAGACAGAGCATCTACTAATGTTTTAGTTAACAGTGTCCCTTGAATGGACCTGCTTTCATAAAAAGCTCAAGAAAAATTTAAATATTTATAACTTTAAGAAATTATATAGCTCTATGTGGCATCTGGTTATAAATTGTGTCCCAGTGGTTTCATTAATGGTACAGATTACAAAACTAAAATTAACACTTGAATGTTATGTTAAGAATTCTGTTGCAGAATGAAAAAAGCCACTTCCCTCTTCCCTACCTGGATGCTGTCAGGCTCATCCCTCCCCAGCTGTGAGAGGTGGCCTTGCAGTGTTTTAAGTCCCTGTTAATGCAGCAGATGAGAAAGTAAGTGAGAGACAATACCACTGCTGCTTTACATTAGCCTTATTTTCTCTTCTCTTTCTAATCCCTTCCCTTAAGGACTTGCTTTGTTCTTGATGTTCTGTATCCTTAGAACACGTGACAGTGAGTGGGAACAGTGCAGGCAGTTTTGTGTGCCCTCAATCAGATCCTCTGTCCTGTAATGGTACATGCTGCACACGAGTTTCCATTAGTCAGGAAATGTACCCAGAAGAGGTGTGTGCTGCCAACTGAAGATGGTTATCGTAATAAATGCAACAAATCTTGCAGAAATATTGTCTTAAGCCAACAATTTTTAATGCTGAAATTAGTTACTTTTAGAATTTAAGGGATACACTGCACTGCTAGAATATGATTACCAGCTTTGGAAACGTGTACACAAATATTCTATGCTTTATGCTTATAGATAGTGCAGGCAAGGTTTGGGCACTTTCAGGATTGAGGAGAAGAAAATTTAGGTTAGTTGTGGAAAGAAATCTACATCTTGGTTTGTTACTTCACCATTAGGTCCTTGAGCTTCCATGCAAAATATTTCCCCTTGGTAAGAGACTGCACCCCTTTGGTGGTGAGCAGGGTGCTGCTGGTAAATAGCACAGGCCTTGTTGGTGTGTCTCCTTGGCTGTCTCACACACTTTAGAACTTGTGTTCTTATTGAGTCATTATAATTCCTGCCAAGAGTGGACGGTTCATTGTTTTCTTGTCATGTTTTTTAACCATTTTACCAACAGCCAAGCAGGCAGTGAGGAAAGATCACGTGTTGGTTTGGGTAAGTCAGCTGCCACTGAACTCAGACTTCGACACTCAGCGTGGCTGTAGAGCTGCCCATGCTGTCCACCCTGTTGTCACTTTTTCCACAAGCAAATTTAAGGTGATATGTAACCTTGTGGAGGGAATAATATATAGAAGAGGAATTCCTGAAACAATAAACATTGGTGTTACTAGTAAGATACTATTGGAGGTGGGGGTGGTGGTGAGGACTATGTGTTCTTGTGTATGTATATGAAAAAGATTGCTCTGTATACATAGGCTTCAGTAAGGTTTGTGAAGACTTAAAAGCAGAAAACTAAATAAAGAGCTGGGTAGAGGAATAAATGAGTCAGTAGCAAGTCAAGATGTTCCTGTGGTGTCAGCCCTCTTCAGCTTTATTAGCTGGTTTATGACTGTAAAAAAAGATTTTTATACTTGTCCATGTTCTATCCTTTCTTCCAAGCAACCTTTGAACTATTTAGTCAGTTTGAACCAAGTCAGTCAGAGAAGAGGATTAAAATATAATTAAACTCCTTCCCTTTAGGGGAAGGGACAGTTAAGTAGAGGGTGAAGGCACAAGTGGTTCCTCTGCAGTGGGAGAGTTTGTTCTGTGAGTGAAACGTCTGTGTAGTGGCAGGGCAGCCATTGCCCCTGTCCTTAATCAACCTCTTGCCCAGTAGGTTTTTGGATGTCATAGGAGGAAGCTATGACTTGTGGGAGCTTGCAAATGAAGGTTGAGGAGATATAGAGAGGAAAGTCAGGGGAACATAGAAAAGACACACATTTGGTGGAAAATGGACATGATTAGTTCCAGGGAGCTCTAAATACTTGTAATTCCTGTAAGAATTTAATGTAGATTGATGAAGGGGAGTTTCTGTACTACAGCCACTGATTGGAAAGCTGTATTTGAGATTTCCTAGAGAAGGACATACTGTTTCCTTCTGTAATGAAGGAGGTAAAGAAAAATGTAATTTGTGTTTTGCAACCACTTCAAGAAATCTTTATTTTGTCACTAACTCATAATATACCTACCTTTGAAGAAATTAAAATGTTTTTCCTTCTGTGTTTTTTTTTTCTCTTCCTCCTTCATGTGTTTCCCAGCCTGTGTATGTCAGTTTTCTGATGTTCATTCCCAGAACTTATGATGCACCAAGTATCTAGTGCGAGGTGCCAAGGCAGAGGCAGTGTCCTGCTGTGTTCCTGGTGGAAAACATCCTGTAGCAGGGGAGAGGCTTGTAAATTCCTCGTTTCCACCACAGTTCCAAGTAGGCAGAGCCATCAGAGCCATCTAATTGTGACTCATGGATGTGTATATTCTGTCTTTTTCTTTTTTAATGTTTTTGAAATCCACACCCAAGTTATTTGTTAAGGGGATGAAATATTAAAGACTAACTGAAATTTATTGCAGAAAAATGACTCCATTAGAGAGGGGGAAAGCCTGGCAAGGTGTGTTTAATGCACAGCATTACTGCCACTTAACAGAGCAAGGGAGCACTCATGGCTCTGCCTCTTCTGTTGCTGTATGTTTTATCTGATGTTTGCAAAAGCAGCCATCTGAAACTGCTGGGTAATAACTGGGAAAAAAAATAATGATGTAACAGGTGAAGAGAATAGTTACACCACTAGCCAGTTCTTTTGTGACCTGTTTATAAGTTTGGTAATTTCTTCATCACAGGTATTTGGGTTGTAACAATGTGGCTGCCCAGAAAATGATGCTAATTTTAATTTTATTCAAGAAGCAATTGGCAAATGTGGTTTGTCTTAGCACAGAGGAGTCTGGTAAGAAAAATTCAGTGTATTAAAAGAGGTCTTATATATATTCTGAAAAAAAATTTTAAGTCCTCTGCTTCTGTTAGCCTGCAATACTTAGTAATGACAAGCTAAACACTGTGGTGGTGAGATTTCAGACTGCTTTAATGTTTGCTGTTTATCCACATTTATTTGCCTTTACAGAGATTTGATGAACTTCCTTTAAAATCAGTTTACTCCTTCATCCTACGAGTCTTGTAGTCCCAATCCTACAGTTTTGTTTAGCAGGCTGGGATGTCTTTACAGAGCTCCACTCACCTCAGCAGTCCTTACAAATACTGTTTACAAAGTCTGCTCTTACCTGATGAATTATGGTGTTGGACAGGCCATGCTGGAAACATTAACTTTTCCTCTTTTTTTACAACAGCCATGGCCAACCCTTTTTACAGAGAGGTTTGCTTATGAGGGTTTGGATTTATGAAAAGTGAGGACATCAGTGTGGTACATGTTGATGTGTAACCTGTCCTCTGAATTTGGGAGTAGGTAATTTATTAATTAAAAAAAAAACAAACACCTTTAACCTTGTGATGTTCTACTAACTTGGTTAGGTAGTTGTACCTTTCTTGTACTCTCCTGAAAGCTTTTGTTTTCTTAATTCTTCCCGTACTAATAAAGACTCCAAGACACAGAAAACAGTCCCTCAAACTACTCTTGCTGCCTTCAGATGCAGTTCTTGTTGGCTCTCTGCCTGGTGGGTGCAGTGAGCTTCAGGCACTTTAACTGAGAGCATCTCTTGTCTGTTCTCTTTCCAAGATGAGGTACAAAGTGCATGTAAGTTCTTGTAGGGCTGGTTGGGAGCCTCTCATGTATTGCAAGTTCCTTTGCCAAATTGCAGGCCTTGTTCTGCCCTTGCACTTTATGCAGGCATCCTGTTTTAATCAGTAGCTGACTCTGAATGTATTTACATGTGTGTTCTGATTTCAAAAAATCTGATCCATGGACTCAACGTGTTGACTTGATCTCTGCAGAGTAAATTTAAGTCTTAGCTAAGGTATAAGTAATTACAGTGGAGAATGTAATACCTTTCAAGTTCAATTAGGCAAAACAGGCTGCATTACATTTTAAATGATACACACCCTTTCTTTCATATTAACATTTTTGTATATTCTGAATGTGAAAAGCCTTGAAAAAGGTTAAAGCATTCACCAATTCACAAGAGTTAACTTTTTTTGGATAGTATGCCTATATTACTGAAATTAGTTTGCCTGCAGTAGTGGTACATCTCAAAAGAGGGGTTAATCTTGATATATTTGTAACAGTATTAGGGAATCAAGAGAAACTTTTCCAAGTTCATCATAATTCACAAACTCAACAAGATGTTTCCTCTTTTGTTTACAGACTTGATACTGCAAGTTCCCTGCCTTGACAGCAATCATCATGGATAGTGGTAAGTTTGTTAACTTAGTGATGAGTGTGCATTTTTATTATTCCCTTTGAAGTGGGAGTAACACACCCCAGAACTGTCCTCTCCTCAAAATCCCAGTAACTTTGCACAAAACGTGCCCTCTGGCATTGAACTGGCTTGAATGTTATGTACAATGCAGATCTTTGCCCACGCTGATGTGAGCTGGAATCATATGACTGTTCTGACAGAGACCATTTGAAGACCATAATAATCACAGACTTACTTGTGACCCTTTGGAAGTTGGCTGCAGAATGAAAACCACAGAGCTCAATTTCCAGCCTTGAGTACTTTACTTTTAACTATTTTTAATCTTGTCCCAGTACCTCCAAATTTTTAGAGCAGAAGTTACTTTTTCAGCTTTACAAAGAAATGTACAAATCATTTTTCACCTCTCTGCCCTATTCAAACCAAATGGCTTTATTAAGATGGACTACAGAAAGACTCAAATTTAATAGCACCAGCTTCAAATTTAAGGTTAAATATTTATTTTTAGCATGGTGGTTTTAGTGGTGGTTTTAGTCTGCTTAGTTGTTGGGAAGGAGTCAAAAAAAGGAAGCCTCAATAATGGTCTCAATAGAGCTGGTTTTGGTGTCCAGAATGCCCCAGGCTTTGCTTTGGCCACACTTCTGTGTCCCAGAATATTTTTCCCACGCTCCTGCTCCCTGTTCCTTCTGTCACTAAAGACCTGAAGCCTGTTTTCTTTCCCTGTGACAGCTTCAACTGGCAGGCTGTGGTGTATTTATCCTCTCATGTCTTTGCCTGTCTCTGGTTCTGATTGAATTTCACCTTGGTAGAGTTTCCATCCTCTGTTAGGATACCATGAAGGTTTTACAGAGAATGTGTAATAGATTGATCTGACTATATTGTTCTCTTCAGTAATAATAAGTGAAACTAAGTCTTTGGAATTATTTTTCTGTAGCTTTCTGTTGCATAAAAACTTGGTAAAAGACAAGTGTTGCAGTTACACACAGAGCTCAACCATGTCTGAAGAAATAATGTATTCAAATGCATTAAAACTGCTGGTAGATATGTATCTTCATCTATATTCTACAAACACTGAGGGACTGAAAGAGACTTTAAATTACTTCTGTGTCTGTTTTACATAATGCCAAAATAATAATTTTTATTTTTATCTTGTATTTGCTAGTTAATCTCCTTTAAAAAAAAGTAAAAAAGTAAGTTTTATCGTGCTTCATTACTTTATTCTTGCCACATACAAGCCTTCCCTGATTGTGTTCAACTCCACAATAACAGCTGTAGTGAATTTGGCCACACTGGTTTAGCTGAAAATGCAAAGTAGTTTTTTTTTACACACTCCTATCCAACTATAACTGAATATCTACAGGATTATGATCCTGGAATACTAAGAAGTCAAAATGGATTCTTCAATGTGGTTCCATTCTCTCTTTTTATAGGGTTCATCAGGCAGTGACTGATTCTCATTAAATCCCTGTATTTCAATCAGTATCTTCATCAAAATTGCTTTGATTCATGTGTTCTCATGTTGCCTTGATGAATTTGTATTGATTTCTCAATAGGATTTGAAGTCACTAGCAGTGTGCAGAGCATTAAAAATGTCACATCAAAACAAACAAATTATTATACTTTATTTTTTTCCAGCCTTGCAGGTTCAAAAGCTGTTCCTGGTCTGGACTAACCAGAGATCATTATCAGACATCTTCAGAATTAATATGGGATGTAGTTTATTTTCCTCAGTGGGCTTTTTTTTGTCTCTGTAATGTATGCATTTTGTATACTATATTGTGAGAGAAGACAGACTTTCTGAATATGAATGCTAAATAAAAAAGTTGGGCATTTAGATAGTCATATATTGACCGTTCTTCAATACTGAATTATCTTAATGTTTGCTGTTCTTTGTCAATGCATTTGAATCAGAAATGTATGTTTAGCTCCTTTTGGAAAACTAAAGTATTCCCTAGAAACTCATAGCAGTGTGTATCAAATGCAACATTTCTTAACATACCAGCTTTAAAACCTTTATTCTGTTTCTAAATTGGAATGTGCATGCAGAAAAAAAGATTTGTATCTTGTTTCTGAGAACCAGAATCTTCAAGTCAGGGTACTTTCAGCTATCTGTGTTTTCCTGTATTTCTTTTCCCTCCGCATCTGGTACAAAGCTGTCATAATTCCTCTCATCGCTCTTTTCAGGGATGAATTCCAACTGTGAAATGAAATTCCCTAGGTTTTATCTGCTGGAGGAAAGGAAACTTGATTTATAGTGCATTATCTACTCTTCAGTGACTCTTCATATGGGCACTCTTAAGAGAGTCTGGCCTGACACTTGTTCCCTTCAGGAATGCCCAAAAGGAGTTGGGAGAAGTAGGTGGAGTACCAGCAGTCCATCCCCAGGCATGGCTGTGTGCTGGCTTCCTCATGTGGACAAGTCCTTCAGCTCATCACCTTTAGGTGATCACTGAGGCATGTGAGGAGAAACCAGCTTCTTCAGGCCTAGAGGGGAGTCAGGAGAATTGTGTGGGAAATGGAAAGAAGCCATCTTTTTTTCTTTCCTTTTGAAGAGATTTATGTTATTTAGTCAGTGAATTTATAGGAGATGTCCATGTGCTCACCTGTGGTGCTGTAGAAAACCAAATTAGTGGGAGGTGCAGTTGTAGGTTGGCACTGAACCCCTGGCACCATTGTGGATAGTGTCATTTGTGTGGTGCATGTGTGTACATGTATTAAAACTGGAAGTGAGTGCTGTTTTGGAATTTAATCTTCAGATCTTCATTTAATCCTTTGCAAAAGGAAGATCACTGTCAAATATTTGTAATCAAGTTGTGGTGGGTTGACCCTGGCTGGACACCAAGTGCCCACCAAACCTTCTGTCACTGCTCCTGGTCAGGGGAGAGAAAATACAGTGAAAGGCTCATGGATTAAGATAAGTAACTCACCAGTTACTGTCACAGGCAAAACAGGCTCAACTTGGGGAAATTATTTAAATTGTGAGAAAATAAAAACAAATCTTAAACCACTTTTTCTCCTTCCCTTCTGCCTGGTCTCAACTTTACTCTCCATTTCTCTACCTCCTCCCCCCAGCAACACAGAGGGATGGGGATTGGGGGCTGCAGTCAGTTCATCACACACTATCTCTGCTGCTCCTTCCTTCTCAAGGGAAGGACTTCATCACTCTTCCCCTGCTCCGGCATGGGGCCCTCCCATGGGTGCAGTGCTTTGGAAACAGTCTGCTCCAGTGTGGGTCCTTCACAGAGTCCACAGGTCATGCCAGGAGCCTGCTCCAACATGGTCTTCCTACAGCCTCCTTTGGGCATCCATCTGCTCCACTGTGGGATCCTCCACAAGCTGCAGGTGGATCTCTGCTCCACCGTGGACCTCCATGGGCTGCAGGGACACAGCCTCACCATGCTCTGCACCATGGGCTGCAAGGGAATATCTGCTCCAGCACCTGGAGCATTTTCTGCCTCTCCTGCTTCCCCAACCTCAGTGTCTGCAGGGCTGTTGCTCTCATATATTCTCACTCCTCTGCTGCTGCAGTTGCACAGAGCTTTTTTACCCTTCTGAAGTATGTTATCCCCAAGGTGCCACCACCATCCCTGTTGGGCTCAGCCTTGGCCAGCAGCAGGTCTGTCTCAGACAGAGGGGAATTTTCTAACGGCCTCTCACAGAAACCACCCCTGTAGCCTTGCCACTACCAAAACCTTGCCGCATAAACCCATTACAGAGACTAAATAAAATGAAATTCAAGTAGATCAGCCTAATTATGCTAATCATTGCTGACAGATGACATCTATCTAAAGCAAAAGCGCAGTGATCATATTTGTTTACTTGCTACCCTCCTTCTGTAACATTAAAAATCAGATGATTAAGGGAAAAAAACCCCTTCAGATTAAGTGTAAATGAAGCAATACACAAATGATTGCATAGGTCAGGAAAGTGATATGACTGCATTAGTGTGGCAGTGCATTGAATAATCGTCCCCTCTTGCTGGCAGTGAGAGCCAAGAGCAGTGTAGCACTGACATGATGTTCCTGCTTCCTGACCTGAAATACCTGGAGAATTTCTGCAGCATTTACTGCAGATGTACCTCCCAGGTAATTCAGTCTGATGGATTTTGGAGTGTTCCAGTTGCCACATATTACTGTAAAAACCATTGGCGCAGGGAGTTTGAGGGAAATCTGGAACATCAGAAAAAAAGAGAAAAGTAAAGAACACAAATAAAGAATACCTGTGTCAGAACACTGGTTACCTTTTGGAATCATTTTATTTGATTAATCAAATAAGGTGAGGTTTTGTGTATGGTTAAAGAAAATAGAGGCCAGTTCCCCCCACAGCTCCAAAAGGGTACCCATTTCATGGTTGAGATTTCTGGAGTGAAGGGAGCCAGTCTGCTTCGAAGTTGCTTCGGAAAACTTAACAGACTAAAACACTGATAAATGCAGCTGTTCTGATGTGAATGACTCTGGGTAATAGCCATAAATATTTATAAAAAAAGCTTCAGAGCATTTTGGCTGTGATGTCCTCCGGCAGTTGCAAATCTCATTTTGTTTGTTCTGTGTCATCTTAGTTTAAGAAGTTGCTTAAGTTGAGCATGTGCCTGTCTCATCTGAGCACTTCTTAGGCACCAGCTTCAGGCTTGTTGAAGCACACAGGACTATGATGCTGAATTGAGGTCTATTGCATTTATGCCACTATAGCAATAACTACTGAAATTGTAGGCCCAACTCCTTACAACAGTGAACAAAACTGGGAGACACCTTTTATCATATGAAATAAAAGGGAAAACTTTGAAAAAGCGTTTTCTTACAAGCACGTTTTCTTTGAACAACTCTAGCATGAGGTTTTGGGTATCTATTTTAGAACTGACCTTTGTTGTCTCACCTCTTCTTGTTCAGTGTTCTTAACAGAGGACAAAGCCAACTCTGTGTTAAAAAGATACCCAAGAGCCAACACGTTTCTGGAAGAATTAAAGCAAGGTGACATAGAACATGAATGCAGAGAAGAAATCTGTAGCTATGAAGAAGCAAGAGAAGCATTTGAAAATGAGGAAAAAACGGTATGTTATGTTGTGTATTTAAAGATGGGTGGGGTGTACTGATGCTTAATTTTTCGCTGTGCTGAATGCTTGTATGTTATCCAACACTACATAAGATTTGGTTTAATTTTGGTAGTGTTTCTTTAAGCAAATTAAGTGAACTGTGGAAACGGATGGACTGCACAGCAGTAGCTTTCAAATCCATCCTAGAATTATAGAAAGGCTTGGATGGAAAGGGATCTTAAAGACCATCTAGTTCCAACCTCACCACCCCCCATGAAGAGGGATGCCACTCACTAGATCAGGTTGCTCAGAGCTCCATCCAACCTGGCCTTGAACACTTCCAGGGATGGGGCAGACACTTCTCTGGGCAATGTGCTCCAGTGCCTCACTACCCTCTGAGCAAAGTTGTTCTTTCTAACATCTAATATAAATCTCTCCTCTTTTAGTATAAAACCATTCCCCCTTGTCCTATCACCATCTGTCCATGTGAAAAGTTGCTTTCCCTCTTTTTTATAAGCCCATTTTAAGTACTGGAAGGTGCTATAAGGTCTCCCCAGAGTCTTCTCTTCTCCAGGCTGAACAGCCCCAGCTCTCTCAGCCTGTCTTGATAGGAGAGGTTCTCCAGCCCTTGGATCATCTTCATTGCCCTCCTCTGGACCTGCTCCACTTCTTTCTTGTGCTGAGGACCCCAGAGCTGGATGCTGTGCTCCAGGTGGGGTCTCAGCAGAGCAGAGCAGAGGGGTAAAATCCCCTCTCTGGCCCTGCTGCCCACGCTGCTTTGGATGCAGCCCAGGACACAGTTGGCTTTCTGGGCCTTAGGAGCACACATTTGTCCCAGTTAAACTACATTTGAAGGTGGTAGAAGTTTTAGAGGTAATTATGCTTATATGTGTCGTGCAAATTGGCAGCTGGAAAGAAAAGAAACATGAACCCCCATTTGAGAAAAGGTGGCAGATGAGTTTTTACCCAAGTAGCCCATGTACTGGTTCTCCCTAGATGTCATAAATGTAGTTGTCCTGCTTGGAAGAAATGATGGGACTGGGACAGTTATGGGGAGTACAGAGAAGCAGAGAGCACAAGTCTTCACTTACCTCACTCCTGCTGGAATAACTTGTTTATTGAATACGTTCACATGAAAAGAGTGAGGAGCTCCAAAAGCTTTCCATTTAAAATACACCTTTGAATCCCAGGTTTTGGTGCAACTGGCCAGTGTTCACTGCCCAGACTATTAATAGTCTAAAAATAAGGAAAGTGGCCTTCTTCAAGCTAAAATCTGCAAGCCTCCAGAGAGTATTGTTAAGCACCAGTGATTTAAACATGGAAGGAGCAATGATTTCAGTGCTACCATGTGTTATGCAAGGGCAGTGATCTATTGACTTGATGGGAATGAAGCAGAAACTGCCCACACAGAATTGTTGCCTAGTTCTGTTGGCTTCTCTGATTTAAAGAAGCTTGTGGGCTAATGGCTCTGCAAGCAGTAGCTGCACATCATAACCAGAGTATCTTATATTGCTTCACAAAAAATAAAACCAGGTTTTTGATGGTGGCATCTGAATTATTTAATACAATACAGTCATTTTTTTTTAATTCAAGATAGATATGGATGAAATTAGGGCCGAATTTGAAGATAAATCTAAAGTGAAAAGCAGTTGCTAGAAGGTGTGACTAGGTATCATTATCTCTACTTATCTCCACAATAAGCTTCTATCCCTTGTGGTCGAAGTGACAGAGGGAACACTGCAGATTTCTTCCAGAATTTACTCAGGTAGTGCATTCTACTCTTCAGCTGCTGAGCTCTACATCAAAGAATAACAATGTGAAAGGTATACTGGAGATTTTAAGTTCTCGGCATCTTTTTGTTGGAGGTCATACCTGGGGAGATGAATGAGAATTTTCTCATTTATTAAAATGAAATAGTAGGACTTATTAAATAGTAGGATGTATTAAAATGAAATATGTGCCATCTCTTCAAAGCTTTTTTTGCCTCCCAAATTTGTCATGGTGTGGCTATTCCTAATATAGCTCTTTGTGTAATTAAGAATAGTGTGTACGATGAGACAATTTGTATAAAATTCTAACGTAACATCACTTTTGCTTTTTGTTCAAGTCGTTAGAGAAAACACAACTTAAACGTGTGGCTTCTCACTTCAGCTTATTTTGCTGCATTTAGGAACATTTTATGTTTTAGTAGATAGCAGTTCTCTTGCAGAGGCATTTGGGAAGTAGTAAAATAGCAATAGATACATTTTTGTTCTTGCCACAAGTGATGAAGGAGCTTCCAATAAGGTCCTGAGCTTTTATCCATTTTTACTACTGTATCTTTTTTTCCTGGCTGCTGTATTGTGTTGTTGGGATCTTGCTAATGGGCCAGGCTCTGCTAATGTGCAGTCATTCCTGACCAGCCTTATTTACTTCAGCTTTAGTCCATTGTCCCCCAGCAGTATCCATCCACACAGCCACTTAGTAAGACTTAATTTCTGTGCCCCGGGGGAAGGAAATAGATGCAGTAGACAAGGAACATGATCCAGTACATTCAGAGAAACAAAGGATCAACAATTTCATGGTGTGGATAGACTGGGATTCAAATAGGGTCTGTAGCTTATTTGTCTCATGGTAACTTTGTTCTGTGTAATCTCTCCCTTTGTATTTTTGTCTTGTCCACTTGGTTCTTCATTTTTCTGCAGTCTCTGGGGCATTGTGCAACATACAAATTTGTAATATTAAAGTAACATCAAGCAGTTCCCTCAAGTTATTTTTGGTTCATGAGTTTTTAATTAGCATTTTGTATGTCAAGTATATATACACAGCTTTCAGTATTTTCATGACAGCTTTTAGTATTATGTAGGCTTGGGGATTTTGACAGGTTCAGAATTATTATTTAAAATTATAAAGTTAATTGTAAAGATAATACAATTATGTTAGGCTAGAGCCATCAGGGATGAATTTGCAAGACTTTGTGGTTAAAATAGAATATGAAATTCGGTGTTGACAAATATAATGCATGTGGGGGGAAAAGGGAGCCACTCGTAACTGGCTCTGAACTGAATTCAGGAACAGGATCTGAATTCAAATCTGTGAAGACTTGAATTTAATGCTCAGCAGCCAAACAAAACCAAAATAAAAAACCTGAGTGCCAAGAATATGAAAAAAAAAGAATAGGGATCAAAATAGAGAGTGTAATTCTGTCAGTGCATACCCACACTTGAATGTGCCATGATCCCCCTATCTCTTTAAAAGCAAATTAGTAGCTGAGGAAGGACCAGAGAAGAGTGACAGTTGACCAAAGATACCAAAAGTCTTTTGTGACAACAATAGTTCATAAAATAATTAAATCAGGGAGTATGTGCTGATGTCTGTGAGGAGCACGAAGGTTGAGCTGAGGTCAGTCACTTGCCATCCTTCTGATAGCAGAGCTAAGAGGGCCTCAAAGCAAACTAGAATGTGCAGGTTCAAAGCAAATAGAAGTATCTCTCCTCACCGCAGCTAATAGAGCTATGGACTGCCTGCCACGGGATGTGTGGGATCCTAAAAACTTGTGTGTGTTCAGAGAACATTGATGTAAATGAAGGGAAGATAATCAGTCTGGAACCATTAAATAAAAGGAATCAGCCTTGGCTAATGATAGTTCTTGAAGTACAAATAGGTGAGATCTGGGAAAGTGTCACTGCCTACTTTGTTTGAACTCTCCTTTCAGCAGTCTCTAACCATGGTTGTCACAGAGAAGTTACCAGATTAGGTGAAGCCTAGGGCTGACCTAGTAAAGCTGTTTATTGGCGGTGCCTTTGCCTACAGCAGCACTGTGTGTCGTCCCTGGTCAGTTGTCAAAGGTTTTTGGGAGACTCAAAGATTTATTCAGATGTTGCTGTGCAAAGTATCTGGGTATGATTGTAACGCTGACATTAATTTTATGTCCATTAATTAATTTTTTTTTAAATTGTACTGCATGAAATTTGTAAAAGCTGAAAGTCACAGATCTTCCCACAAATTTTAAGTATTGAAGAAACTCCAGTATTTTCTGTCTTGCTTTATCCTAAAAAGCAAACAAAGAAACTACAAAAAAGCTTAGCAAACTCAAAACTTGTCAGCCAGATCTAAAAGGATGTGATCGAGTAAGACTTCTAGTGCCAGTCTGTGTGTAACTATGGATGCTGGATAAATACCTAGAAGAGAAGAGGTGAATCTTTTCCTGCCACCTGAAAGGGGGGGCAGACCAGAAGAAAACAGTGTGGCAGGTGCACTCACTTCCCATTGCTGCTTTGTTTGCATCCTCTGCCGACCTAATACCAAGCACTCTTTTGGCTGGCATATTAGTCCACCTTTAAAACAAGTCAGACAATTGATCAAGGATCATTTGAGCTGATGATGCTGCCAAATTTAGTAAAGGCCTCAGCTGAAATTCTGAGCAGGATGTCAGTCTCTTGACTTTCATGTGGATCCCTTATTTGATTCAGTGTTCAAATCCAGTTAACTGATGCTGACTCTGTTCTGAGTATTACGAATAAAAGGGAAACAAAATTCTGGCAAATTTGCTGTAACTGTCTTTGTTTGGGATGCATTTGAGAATTCCTTTTGATTGTTTCAAACTGGATTTGCCAAAGCAGTAAGGTACATTCAGAAAAATAGCTCTTGGCAGGAATATATGTTAGACGTTTTCCAAGTCTTTTCCACAGTGGTTATCTGATTCTGTGGCCTGCTTAACTTAGTTTTTCAGCCTTATAAGGCATTCACACCTGGTATTCCCAGTTGTAGAGCACTTGAGGATAAATGATTACTTAAGTGTCCTTTTCTTTGATCACAAATTAGTAATTTTGTCAAGTAGAAAGTCAGTCCTTTTTGTTGTTGGTTTAAGAGACCAGCAATTGTGGAAGGAGTGTTTGTGCTGTGAGTTTTTCAACTTCTAAACTACTCTTTAACTTTCTTTATGAATTTCACAGCTGCTTTCTAAGTTTTCAATATTTCCCCTACTCGTTCTTTTTTCAGAGCAGTTTGTACAAATCCTGACATTGTGCAAATCCATCTGAGTTGTCTGTGGTTTTGCAGGGCATGATTTGACTTTCACCAGATGTCTTGTACTCCTTCTGCACCATCAATTTACTGTGTGGTGTAGCTGCGGGATGACAGAGCAGAGGGAGAGCTGCTTGGCAGCTGTGCAGCTCAAACCCTAAGGATTAGTTTCTTGCAGTTCCTGTCAACTGCATCACTCTGGAACTAAGTGTCTTTGTGCTTCTCTTTGAGATCTGACTTGCAGAAATGCAAGCTGCAAACCTGGGATGCTAGTAAGGTTTTGGTTGGTGGGTTTAGTGGGGTTGTTTTGTTGTGGGTTTTTTTGGTAGGTTGTTTTTTGCTTTTCCCCTGAAGAAGAACATTTAAGTATTTGTTTCTTAGTGTTTTCAATCTGTGTGCAGAACTTCATTCCTGTGTCTCTGGAAGATAGTGTTAGGTCTAAAGTACTGTAATTTTTGACCAGGGGCGAGGGGTGTCTACACTGTCTTGAATTTTCTTTACCTTGCATATAAATGAAAGAGGACACTAAACTACTTTCATCCTTAAGGCAGTTTCAACTCTTACCTTAAGCTCTTTATGCAACTGTCTGGTCACATCATCAAGTCAAACATCCCCACAACCTGTTCTGAACTAAGTACCTGCCAGTCTGGGAAAACAGCTTTTTTTGCTTCTTTGCCATGTTGCAGAGTGCCAAGGAGGTATTTCAGCTGGTATTTAAGCTTTATAAAAAAGGTACAGAGACATTTTCTACAGCAGATAGATCTGACCTAGAAGTAACATGAAAACAACACTAAAATACCAGTCACTACTTACTACCCTTCTGTTGGAGAAGGTGCATTTCCTCTGCAGTCTGCAACACGAAATAGATTGCTAGGGGAGAAGTGTGATTTCTTCTTTTTCATCAAAACTACCTTTCTGCTCCACAGTCTTTAAAATGACATACCCTTGTACAGTCTATTTGACATCTCTCTGTAAATCTTTGCAACCTTGGCCTTAAAAACAAGCACTGTACCATTTTATTTCTTTGCTGCCACTGAGGCAGCAGAACAGTGAAATGGAAAATTTCACTCCAAAGCAGACAGTAGCATTTCGTAATCCTAATGAATCCTTTTCTGCTTTTTTTAGTCAACAATATATCTATTATTTATTTCACTAAATAATTTAATTCTATTCTAACCAGATGGAAAAGTGATAGGTAACAGATCTTCTTGATTGCCTGGTAATCTGGTGGGGAGAGGGTGAGGTGTTTGGTTTTGCCATCTCATGCAGAGATCCCAAAAGTCCTCAGTTGTGCATCTGATGTCATTTTTTTAATGTTAGTTCCTCCCCCCATATGTTTGTCTAAAATCAGCACAGTTGATCTGGGATTCAATGTGGAACAGTGCATCAGAGAAGGCCCTTGTATAGAAGTGTTTAGGGTCCATCTTCCCAGAGTTTCTTGCTTTGTTTGAAGCCAATCCTACCTGACTTAGCTTAGGTGATTTGGACCTGGGTTCACATCGAAGAAGGGCACTGTGATGATATGTTTGTGGTGTCAACCCTTGGAATTTAGGGAAAATGCCTGAATGGATTGCTGTAGGAATCAATTTTTTTTTATTTTTTTTTTGAATTTGCACTGAGTATAGGCATAAGAACAACTGAATTCATCTTTGGTAAAGAAAATTTACAGAATAGTCATTTGTTTCAAGCACGTGGCATTGCTCTTAACCTTAGTGAGTTCTGATCCAGAAACACTGTAAGCTTGTGTTTTGTCCATGGTGTCCTGGTCCTGGCTTTGCACTGGGCAAGTTTAGCCTCGACACTGCCTGTGGACTCAAACTGCCTCTGGGATCAGCTTGGTGGCATTTAGTGTTTAATGCTGATCATGTGGCAGCAGTTCTGAACTAAAAAAAAACTAATAGACCTAGTTTGTCTGTGCTCTAAGTCAGTCAGTCTGCACCTGAATATGTCTACTAATAACTGAGTAATGACAATATCAATTGTACCTGGTGACTGTTTCATAAATACTTGCATGAGATGTGTGCTATCATTTCAAATGAATGCAATGCTGGCATGAGCATGGCTGGGCCAGCTCTCTGCAGTTTTAAAGGAAACTAAAGAGTTCAGAGTTTCTGGCATGTATTGCAGGGTGTCATTAATTATTTTTTTTTCTTAAATTATCCATGGTTATAAAACACAGTGAAAATGTTTCTTAGGAGGAGAGATCTTATGTTACAGGTGAGGATGGCTACTTTTTTGAGGCAGGGGATGCTTTTCTTTTGTTTTTTCATAGCAGTCACTGCAGAGGAAATTGGATTGGCAACATGATCTTTGTGCTCCCGCTTGTGCACATTAATAGAGCAAAGATGACTTTCAAGTACTGGTGTACCCCTTCATCTTTGTTTTCACTTGTTCATATTTTAACTTTATGTTCCATTTAACTGTAGCTGTGTTGTCAAGATTTCTAGAATATAATAAGCTGTGTGATATTCTCATAGCTCTGGAGCTATTTTTAGCTGTAAACAGAGAATCTGGATCAACTCAAAATAAGCTGACAGCAATAGCTGTATGAGCCAGAGGGTGGAGGAAGTCTAAATTATGAGATGACAGTACAACATAGTTGTGCTTTGCCAAAATGGTCTGTCATTCTGAACTGGTATTTCCCTGTCAAATTCTATTAGTATATTATCGCAATTTTAAAACAAACAAACAAACCCCAAACTTTTACCTTGAGTGGTGCTGAAAAATTTTGATCCACCAGATGGCTGATGTGCATGCTGATTAGGCAGGGTTTTGGGGTTTTTTAGCTAGTTTGTTTTGGGGACAGGGGGGTTGGTTGGCTAAGTTTTTTTCTGTTTGAGGGGTTGATTTTTTGTCTATTTTTGCAGAGCCTTGTCTGTGCTGCATGTTTGCGAACACTGAGTGCAGACACAGGAACCTTAAAAGTAGCATGGAGTTTGTTTTTAAAAACCAAATCCCTTTGGTATCACTAGTGACATCAGAAGAAAAATTGAAAGTTTATTGTGTGTGCTTATCCATGCCAATTCTTATTTTAACCCTCAGTATTTGAAATGCCTTTTTTATTTTCCTCATTCATTTAAAACAACTTGCTGACATTGCTTTTTTTTTTTTTTTTTTAAACTATCTTATAGTTTCTGACTTACTGTATCTTGCTCTTCTAGAAGGAGTTCTGGAAAGTCTACAAAAACGGACTTCAGGGAGAAAGTAACACAGGACATACCTGGTATTCATTTTACCTTGCGTTTCCATTAATCATTGGCCTTTTCGTTATCCTCATTGTCATTTTTGTCATATGGAGATGCCTGTTCAAAAAGAAAATGCGTAGACAGTCGGTGTACGTGCACAGGGGAGCCCCCGGAGCGCTGGGGGACGGTGCTGTGGCTGATGGCAGAGGCCCTGTCCCGCCGCCCCTCAGCATTGTTCATTCCCCACAGGAGGAAATGTATGAAGTCAGTGGGCTCTCCCCGGGAGGTCTGAGCTATATGGATGCACGGTCGGACTCGATATCCACCAGGCTCTCAAACTGTGATCCTCCTCCTTCCTATGAGGAAGCCACTGGTGAGATCAGTGTGAGAAGAAGTGACACTGAGCAACATTTAGATCCCCCCCCGCAGTATGAAGACATTGTGAATTCCAGCTCAGCCAGTGCGATTGCACTAACTCCCATTGTCACCAGTGCTAAGTGAAGCAAGAAGAATGCCACGGACCTTTTAAAAATCAGTAATCATTTTGTAGCACTTTATCTTGGCATATTATGCATTTCTGTAATTTAATGGACTTGTACAATAGATTTCACTTTTTTTAGGTTCACTCGTTCTTTGGGTTTGGGATTTTTTTTCCCCTACAGAAGGTCTTAAAAGATAAGGAATCTGTATTGAGAGTGTAGTGCAGATACAAGTGTGGTGCTCTGTCATACTTCTCAAAAGTACCTCTGTTTTGAGGGATGTCACTTGTTTCATTCTGAACATGTCCACATTCCCCACAAGATTTGCGGGATCCCCCTCCCCTCTCTTACTGCAGACTGTCATAATTCCCTGCAATAGGGAATCCTTAAATAACATTTTAATAGTTAGTTACACTAAAGGGGCCTGATTTTACAGTATTACCTTGTCTGGTAGGTTCTTTTTTCTCACTTGGATTTTTGTTACATGATGAACCCTATCCTGGACCCTTAGGAGGCTGAGAGTAGGATGCCTTTGTGTTCAAACCAGGATCTCATTTAGAGAATGCTGGTGTAATAGCAATAATTTCAGAGTCCTAGCAGAAGAGATGTGTTCTAAAGCTTTTGCTATTACAGCTCAAAATTCTGTAAATGTTTAGAAGCTAAAAATTCAAAACACTGATTAGTGAATTTAATGGTGTTTGGTTTTGTCTGTGTTCTGCCTTTCCTGTTTTCTCTTGTGTATTCCAGAGATGAGAAGTATGCATATGTTAACTTTAGAACTGGAAAGTTCATGCAACAGTAAATAATGAAATACTGAAATACTCAAGAGTGGATAAAATCCTGGTCATAAACTTTCTCCCATGGTTTTCACTGGGACCAGGATGTTATCTATAAGCACATAAACCCAAAAGGTATTACTTTTCTTTATAAGAGGGAAAATGGAAAGCAATTCAGTGTGACTTCCTTTTTCCCCCAGCTATGAACCCCTTCCTCAAATTCTAATACTCTCCTGCCTACTTACCTGTACCGTGTGTGCACCTTGTACTGGTGCCTTTGGAAATCCTTTGCAGAGAATATAGATACCTTTTTACAACAACAAATATATTTATTGCTTATCCATTCCAACAAGGAATTCTAAGAACATGCAGGCATAACCCCAAGCATTAGTGTGGAGTGACTTTTTGAGGATGAAGAGATGGATGCAAATTATCTACAGGCTTGTACAAAATTTCACCCACCTGGTTTAGATGCTGATGATAGTTAGGGTGGTGAAAGTTCTAGTGTGGTGATTCCTTTTTTCCCAGCTTGATTTGAAAGTTCATTGTTTGATTTAACTTCTGAATATTAGTTTCAGTTTTCTTTCTTCCCACACCAAGGTAGTGTGGCATTAGCTTAGTACTGTTCCATGTTCTACTACTCAATCAGCACCAACTGAAATGTGTTTAGCCCTGAAGGACTAAATTATGTTATGTTGGCTTTCTTAAAACAGAAACACAAACTGGATCTTGTTTCAAACGCCCCAAATGAAATACCAGTGCCATACATTTGAAATTGCTCTTAAAGGCCATCTCACAGGGGGCTTGACCCACCTTTTCCTGAAGGATTTTTATGGACAGAGACTGGAAAGAAACGTGTGGTCATAGATGAGTATGTATATGCACACTCTGGTAAGAATTTGATCTGATGTACTGACAAGTGGAGTAAGGATTTTATGATTAATCTAATGTTCTCATTTTTGACAAAGAATAGGTTGCCAAAGTTGTCTACTGGGGATCTCCAGTGGCTAAGGCAAGTTATGTTAGAGTTAATAGATGAACTCCTGGCCAAACTCCTGACTCCGTTGTCAAAACTGTAACTCTTATTTATGTTTATTATATATAATAGATATTGGGCAGATAAGTATAATATTTTGGACACTTGTAGTAAAAATTGTCTGAGTCTTGTTTGTGGGCTGTCTGACCTTTTCTTTTGAAGTGGTTTTAGCCCTTCCCAAATCTTTGTTCGTGAAGCCTAGCCATGGTTTTAGCCCTTGTGAATCCTGAATTGCCACTTATGGAAGTTAAAGCTCCTTTTGTACTGAACAACAGTTAATAAATGAACTGCTTTGGGCAGATGTTACCAAAACAAAGTGCCTCATCCCAGCATGCAGAAACCACCTCAGAAAGAGCTGGTACTTCAATGTCTGTGCCATATTGGCATCTCCTGTGCCTGCCAGCACAGATAGTAATTTTAACAGTGACTTTCTTGTTAGAACATAAGACTTTCCTGTAGGAAATGCATGGAGATCACCCATTTCACATTAGGTTGTTCAGCAGCAGTTGTCATCCCCTGAACATGGGCAGTCTGGTTTAGTAGTTTAGAGATGAGCTAGATCCTTTTTTTGTTTGGCCTTTTTTTTTTTTTAACTATATTCCACTACTGCTTTTAAAGGCTTTGTTTCTGGTTCCTAAATTGAATATGTTACTTTATCCTGTTACTGTATCCTGTAGATACCTTTATGTGCAATTCAAAATTGATGGTTGCTGTTCCAAAAAGTCACAACCAAATACCTGAAGTGATCTATAAGTAAAATTTATTGGGCTATGCCTTTTCCATGTACATGAGCATGAAAGCCATTGTGGGCTATAAATTTATGTCTTGGTGAATAAATTTCATAGTTAACAAAACTGTGTGGGACAGTTGTGCAAATTCATTTCCTCTGAGACATGAACAGTTTACTCCATGTTGGAATAATATCAAATTACAAATTGTTTTGTTCTGTTTTGTGAAATGTGGGAAAATAGCTTAGTCTTGTGACTGGCTTTTCTAACCTGATTGAAAAATAAAATTTCATTTTTACTGGGGTTTTATACAGCTTGTTTGTTTGTTTGTTTTACCTATCATGTAATTGCATGTCATGCAAGAAATATGAATTTATAGTTGTACCTCTCTAAGGTTTTGCAGCTCTGAATGCAGTGCTATCTTGACTGATGACATGAATAGTCAGGATACTGCCTTTCCCACTTCTGAATGTAACACTGAATTTCATCTTGTATTAGGACTGAGATGATTTAGCTACTAAAACTAACTTAAATGTGTTGCTGTTTTAAGAAATTATGGAAATTAATGATTTGCTTAGATTACATTAACATTAGTGAAGGTTGTTCTGTCTTCACTGGATGTAAATAACCTCTGATTACAGTATTGCATATTTTAAGGGGGTTTGGTTTACATTAAATTATCCTATTTAAACATTTTTGCCTATGTTTATAGAAAATTTTTTGTAACATTTGTTTTTCAATATGCTAAATAAAATTTTTTAAGATGCCTCTATTGTTTCAAGATATCAATTCTACACAACTACAGTGAGAATTAACTGTGTATTTAAGTGGTCTTTTAATTTGCATTGCTGTATGGACTTAGTTGCATGAATCAATTATTTTTATGATACAAAATATCTATTTTTTGTAGGCAAGCAACTATATTCTTTCAAAATTCAGGCTCAATTTTAATCATATTTGTGAATTTGTATAGTTTTCAGTTTTAAAAAAACATCTGTTCTAGCCATAGCAAAATAACAGTCACAGGCTGAGGGAAAGCAGAAATTATTCTCTGTTACAACAGACTGAAAGATTACAGCTGAGTGAGAGGACAACTCTTTGGCAGTTTTTACTCCACAGGCAGCAAGGTTGCTTTGAAACTTCTTTGAATTATTTGAGGGCTAATTCCAGAATTAGTCTGATTTTTCAAGCACTGTAATTGGGATCAGAACTGGGTCAGAGGATTTCTTCACACTGTCTCATTGGCTGTTTTATAAACATGAGCATATTCCCTTTTTCACTCACTGACAATATCATGGACTAACCTGGAATTATTAAAAGGTTTTTCCAGCATTAAATATGACCAGTGACCAATGTCACAAAAACCAAATCTTCTGCAGCAAAAAAAGTGTTTTAAGTCAGAGGACTTAATTTCAAAGTCGACTTCAGCCATTTGAAAGTGATTGCAAAATTTTACCATCATTTCTGGGAATGTCATAACTGAACAAAACCAAAACCAATCTTGCATAATGACCCCTGCTGGAACCTGAAGGTCTCTGTTGCAGTCAACACAAACTTTGTGTCATCCTTTCTCGCTCTGGTAGGCAGGATAATGTGTCCCTGGTATTTTTGGAGAGGCTGGTGAAGCCTGGAGGGAGGTGGGTGTCTGAGAGTTTCATGGACACGAGGGCAGTTTTTACACTGATCATAACAAAAGGGCAAAGAGAGTCTTTTGAAGCAGCAGGGTGAGTGTGACTTTCCAAGCTGTCACATGCACAGTGTAGCACCTTGCTCCCCTTGGAACGTTTCTTATCCAAACAGGACACTCTGCCCTGGGTTAAGTGGTGTTTGCTGTGGATGTACACGTTTGTGTCCTGACTGTACATCCATCACCATGGGCTGATGTGTTTGCACATGGCTCAGTGCATGATTGCCTCTGCATGCCTGGCTCCCAGCTATGGGAGTGTGGCAGATACAATGTTAAACTGGTATCATGAATCTCAGTGTCTATAAAAATCAGATCATCGTGCAGGTTACTGGTGGTGAATGTTCATTATTTATTGTTTTGCACGCCCTGAGCACTGTTCTCTGCTGCTCTAAATCACATTGATAGATTTCTTTTTATCTTCTGCATAATGTGAGAGTTGTAAATGTCTCCTAGTGCTACTCGGTGATTTTTAAAAAGAAAGAAAACCATGTTCAGCTGAAAGCACAGAGGTGACATCTGTACTATTTCATTGCTTGCTGCACACAGATTTGATTGATTTGCTACAGGGTAATTGAACTTTGAGCTTTGCCAGAAAGTTGAACTACACTTTTCTTCTACAGGGGGATCTCAGTAATTGTATTTTTCATTTGGCAATGAGTTATTGAATGCTAAGTAACAAGTCAGCACAAGAAAGGCCTTGCTTATATTCTCTTGACCATGTATATATCTAGCATGTGCAGCTTGTTATACAGCACTGCTTACCATTTAGCTTTGTGCAACAATGTTTGCTGTAATATTAGGACCTGTGTTCTCTTTGCCTGTCCTGTCTCTGGGTATCACGCAATAAAAGCACACTGACTGCTGTGCTGTTTTCCCCTTAGAAACAACAAAACCTAAGAATCAAAACAAAAATTTTCAGTGTGACCTGCTGTTTCCTTCTCCACTTGGAAGAATTGTATGTACCTGCATCGCTCCCAGGGTTAGCTGAGGAGCTTAAAGCAAGGAGGAAACAAGTGCTTAAATCATTTTGATACTTCCAGCAATGAAATGTGTGCATAGGGAATATTCTCTACCAGACTGTCTCCCTGGCCTTTCCTGTGGTGTAGAATGTGTTTTCCCACAGAACAGTCCCTGGATCGATTCCATAGGTCAGAGGCTCCTGATTTGATTTTTCCTTAGATTTTTCTTTATTTTGTTACTCAGCTCTTGCCACTGGCAGTGATGCTGAGCACAAGGACTCAAGTTGTTTGTTCAGTGACACGCTGCAAGGTCTGTACATATGTGGATCTGCTACCCAAGCTTGCCTGCTGTCCTTCCCTGTCCCTGACATTGCTGGTCTGCTCCCACCTGGGCCAGGCAGTATTTCAGTGCTGGACAAACAGCCAGGGGTATGAATGCAGGCATTTGGAGCCAGATGCAGGTGTCAGTCTGTGACACACAGTGAGGCACAGCCTGTTACCACCTGAGGCCTTTTCACGTCCAGTCTTAATGCAACCACCACACGTGGGTTGTTTCCAAGATTAAAACCACTGCAGGCAGCATTTCTTACCAGGACTTTCTGTGAAAAATTACACTGTTGAAGGAAAGCAAGGGCAATGTGACCAGCTCAAATATTCTCCCCAGCTGGCACCCCTAAACTCTCTTAGCACAAGTCATTTATTTCCATTTACTATTGGGATTGTTATTTTTATCTCTTCCTTTTATTT